CGAGATCCCGATAGACTATATGAGGTATCATTGAAATTGTCTTTCATAGAGTGTGTGCTGTTTATCGGATCGCTGTTTGGTTTATGGTTTGGATTATCAGTTTCGATGTCCATTAATTGTATGACACAATTATATTCCAAATATAAAACATTAATTTATAATAATCGTCAAAATATTTTACTTAATATAACACATTTAATATGTAGTCATTTACATAAACCACGAGTTTTTTGTCGCGTAAAACGTGGTGTAAATCCAAGACCACAATCACAACGTATTATTGCCGATAGTATCACATAAGCACTGTTCAACATGTTAACAACAATATACATATGGATTGCAATATGCAATATAACTTTACAATGTATATATGGAATGTGTCAGCGCGTGTAATATTCGGGAATTTTCCCGGGAATATAATATAACATTAAATTCACATTACTTCACATATTTAGCGTCAAACGAAACACTGAAGTTTGCAACAAATACTAATGGTGTTAAGTATTATTCCCGATGCGACCAGAAATGCAATCGTTGGCGCGATTGTGTGCAACACTATTATTATGTTACCACGAGTTCACAAATAACGGGATTTGTTTATCGCGATAGTTCATTTAGGTTATTTATCGAGTACCCTGTTCAGCGGACAATGGTTTTTGACATTGATTTGAAAATGACCATGGAAGAATATCTGGCAATGATAGCTAGTATACTTGGCCTATGGTTTGGATTTAACATGTTCATGTTTAATGAAGTTTGCGTGCAATTATATCAGCGACTAAAACGTTATGTCATTAATTATAAAATTAAATATATAAATTCAAATATTATTCAATTGAATCAAACTAATTATAGTAATTATAATCGTAATAATAAAATTCATAATATGCGCATGCTACATACATCATAATTATAGTCAACAAAAAACGCGTTTTAGAGCTTTATTCACAGAAAAAAATATAAAAATTTATTTCTAATTCATTGTTACAAATATTAAAGTTGTGTCCAAAACAATGAATCAAACATTACTTTATCTAAAGTTAAGTTTTTTTGTGAAGAAAGCTCTAAAACGCGTTCTTTTGTTGACTATAATCATAATATAAATGCAATTTTTCTAGACTGTTATACAGTTTACGATTTAAGTTTTAACTATTTAAAAATAAAATAATTAAAAAACTAACTAATACTTTACCACGAGTAAAATTTATTCACCAAATAAATATTTTCTTTATTGATTAACAAAATATTTAATTATTTTAGCTCATATACTGTAAGTCACTCTACTACATTATTTAACACATGGTATTAATTTAGTTCATTTAGGTAGTTTTACTAGTGTAAATGTCAACGGGTGAATCATAATATTTATTATCATAATTATTACAAAGTACAAGTGTATAACATATTAACCTTTAATATAATAATCATTACTTGCATTTATACAGTGGGGTTTGTTATATTAATAAGAATTATTCTTTTTATCTAACATTTTTGTAAACGACCTTGGCGCAATTAGTACTTTAAGTTTGCTTACGTGATAACACATATAAAAGTCACACTGCATTGTGTCACTATTAGGTTAATTGTGTGTTTGAATGAACAATTGTAGTTTAAACCAATAATATAAATTATTTAAATAATGTCAATTGATTTATATTACAACAAGTTTAGCGGTCCGTCGAGGGCTGCGTTGATGACAGTCCGGCAGTTAAACATTGACATCAATCTTAAACAACTGGATTTGAGTGCTGGCGAACATATGACACCCGAATACCTCGCTGTAAGTAAAATTGCCAATTAGGTTTAATTTATTTAGATTTTTATATTTTTAACAGTGTTTATTATTAATTAAAATATTAATAGTCTTAATATCTATTAAATTTAAATACTAATGTTTTACAAAAGATTGTATTTAAACAAATTTATTTAAAATATTGCATTGTTTTATTTAAATACAGATAAACCCTAACCATAAAGTGCCCACTTTGGTTGACGGCGAGTTTGTCCTATGGGAGAGTCGGGCAATAATGCAATACCTGTGCAACCGATACGCGCCGGACAGCACTCTCTACCCGAAGGACCCTAAAAAGCGCGCTCTAGTGGACCGGTCTCTTAACTTTGACTTTTCATTCTTAGCTCAACTCTCAGAAGTGATGGTATTTTAAATAATTTATATTT